GTACTGTACAGAGTGTTTGTACCTAAAACAATTATTAAACTACTTTTTAAAAAACAAAATTACCATGCCATGCCTATGTAAAAATATTACTGGGGAATTGTGCTCTCCTTTTAACAACTGTTTTTAAGGTTATCATAAAACAAACTGAAAAAAGATCTTTTAAAACAAAATGTAGATAAAAAAAAATTCTTGACTTAATTCTGGCAGTGTTTTTTTTTTCTTTTCCTTTTTTCGGAAAGTTCATTTCTGCTCTTAAACACATTTAAGTAATTGACCCTTTGCTAAGCCCCGCCCACCTTAGCTACTGTTGTCACGCCTGTCAAGTTTTCATGCCTGGCACGTCTACTATATATGTATGTGCTATATAATATGTATGTGCCGATGTCAGACATTGCCTGGGATATAATTAGTCCTTTTTGTTGAACAGGTGAGATATCTGAGAAAGCCAGAAAAAAAGGATTGCAGTATATATCATGACAATCGTCAATTGATTAGAATTTTTTTTTTAATTAATCAAAATAAAAGCTAAAGCCTATAGCCGCCTCATACGCTGACCATTCAACAGATTAGTTCATGCACAGAAGCATAGGTGAAATTTTTAATTAATATAATAATAACAAATTAAACAGTGATTTCTCTTTCTTTTAGCAAAAAAGCCTGATAGACTATTGATGTGCAATAAAATATAGCGTTACTATATTTGCATTTAAATAGAAAAAAAAATAAACTGAAATGCAAACCAAAGTATAAATAGCAGAAGTGAACAATTAGATTTTCCCTACCAGCAAATATTAATCTGACACCAAATATGAAAGCAGGCATTAACCCGCTATTTTCACATCCTGTCTTCCATGTATGTTTGTTTTCGTCATGTGACTTTCACCATGTGCTTCTTTTCTCCTGTGTATTTATACCGCTTAGTTTCATTCAGTCTTCGTTCGGTATTCTCTGTTGATGTCTGTTTTAAACCCATGTTCTTTCTGTGTTCATCAATGTAAGTGATTATCTATAAACCTATGAGTTTTGATAATCCTGCAATCATGTGCCTGCCTGTAGTGAACCCAGGCGTTGTAGCTACAATGACTAAATCTCTAAAAGACTGAACAAAACAACGGTGAACTGTAGCTCTGACATAGACATGAGGTTTATAAATGACTGAAAAACAGCTGCGGGTGAAGTATATGGATCGCAAATGCTCAGTGACATGTAATTTCAAATAATCGTAACTTGAAACAGATGCTGTTTTTACGGCTCCTCACACAGCTTGATCCACCCTGCATTTCTCCACTTGGGTTTTAGGATTTACAAAGGGGAAAAAGTTCCACTACCTCTTCCAAACTTTTAGGATATTGGGTATTAGATTTGCCCAATATAATTGCACAAACACTTTGGCTCGTTTTCCTCGCCTGAAAGCTTGACAGATCTCCTGCGCTCAGCTACGGTTGCTAATCCACGATTGAAGTGTGGCGGTTTTCAGGTGTGGATTAGCGTAGGGTCAATTATGTAATCAGTGGGTGTGATCTGCAAGCGATTTCTTCCACATTATTTTCTCATTCTACGGGTGTCAGATGAGTTGAGTAACTAGAGCATATATATCAGCACTTGTTTGATTGCTTGAAAAAGATATTTTAAAGACTTGGAGAGGTTCACACACCAGATAAGAAGCCCATCTCAGCATGGCCAATTTTTTTCTTTGAGTTCGCATGCACCATTACCACTATTCGGTGACTGTCCACAGCAAATAGAAAACAATGTAAAGATGTAACGTGCTGTGGTGGTGCTTCTGCTTAAAAAAAACATCAGGGCATTTAATTTTCCATGTTGTTAAAATTGAATATAATATATTATTCTATACTATTTAAATTGTTTTTATTTTTATTTAGATTATTTAAAACAAGATGTTTTTACAAATAAAGTGTTTGTGGGTTAATAACACAAGTGCTATGGCGTTTTAGTTTAGTCAGCTTCTTGAGCTTAGAATTTAACAATTTCAAACGAATCGAATATTCTGCAAACAATTACAAGTTTTCCATGTTTACACCATTCCTTTTTAACAAAGACACTGTCATGTGTCTACATTCTCACTACATTTTTCAATGTAGAAATCTAAGACACGAAAGGGATGTAGCAACATTGTTGCGTGACATTTTACAACATGACACTACTTTTTTTGTCCATTGCTTTTGAATATAGCCTTTTCTGCTTATTAATAGTAGCCTTATAGTATCAAAATGTTATTTAATATTAACTATTGCTCATTAACTAAGTTTATTAATTACTGGATGAATGTGCATGACAAAGAAATGGCTTTCAACAAAACTAAAATCTCACAATTTTGATTCATTAGGGACAAAATGTATTTTAAACTGTGTAAACTATCTTTTTTTTTACCTGTGTACTTATCAACTTACCTGAGAGCTAATCGACTTCCTGGTACAGGCCTCAGGCTCAACAGCAAACCTATCTGCTCTGTGCCTTCATGCCTCCCAAACTTTTATCTTTTGCCACTATTTCAACTGGATACATACAAATGTCATTTATTGTACATTTTGGTGTCTAGCTCGAAAATCCAGCTAAAGTTACTTAAAAATTACCTATAATTAGTCAAAGCAGGTTATTTATTTAAGTTGTTTAAGCAGTTCATAAACTACAATCTGGCAACCTACCAATTTCCTAATTGGTGAACATTAACTTTACATCTGCTTGATTAAAATCTAAAGAGAAAAGAAAATACATAATCCAACTGTATTTCATCCAAAATCATATGTATATACAATAAATTGGTTTTAATATTATCAAAAGTGACGCAGTGGCACAGTAGGTAGTGTTGTCGCCTCACAGCAAGAAGAAGGCTGGGTCACTGGTTTGAACCTTGACTCGGTTGGCGTTTCTGTGTGGAGTTTGCATGTTCTCCCTTTTATACATATTAAAGAATTAACATTATAGAGTGTATTAAGTGATTTAGTTTTTAATGACAAAAGTCGGGCATGGGATTGGTGGAACAGTACATTGCTCCCAATATTACTGCATTCCTAACAGCTAGAACCTACAATAAGTTGCCAGCAGAAGTATCCTTTTAAGCTACTACTGCGAGCACGATGCAGGAGAAAAAAACTATTCATTCTCCAATCAGGACATGTATTTCCATGTCTTGATCCTTTCTCGACACGTTGCTTCTTCGAAGGTCAGGTATGGCAGTACAAAAATCCTCCTTCATGGACTCGCCCGGTCTTCACAGGTCTTCACCAAGGCAGAGAGAGTGCCCTCAATTATTGTGATACCTGTTTGATTATAGCTCAGTCTCAAGATCAATTAGACATGCACAGGGACAAGGTGCTTTTACATTTTAGTCAGTGGATTTTGGTCAATAAATAAAGAGCAAGCTTATTCCTGAAGAGAGCATCTATATCCTTGTGATGGAGATGGACTTAATTTCTATGATGGTGCATCGCACCATCAAAAGCTTTGGGTTGGTGCTGACATGTCTGAGAAAATTTAACAGAAAAACAGTGGTCCCATTAAAACTATTTCAATCGCATCTCAAGCCAATTTTAAGCTGCTAGGATTGCTGTATATTTGATCACCTCAGAGCTGTGGTTTCACAAGTCGGCCAGCACTCCTTTGTTTCACTAAGTCCCCCAGTCTTCCCTGTTTTTCTACATGCTTTTCTATGCTTTCCACACTTTCATTTTTCCTTGAACATTAAGTCACCAAACAGTGATAGCGCATCTAATGTTGTGTACACACCAAAAGGAGAATTAAGTAACCTATTCGCATGAGTAAGTTACTTTACAAAGTCAATGCCAAGGCAAATAGAGGCAAATTATTGATGTCTATAAATAGTGATTATTGATGAATAACAGTTTCTGAAAGGTGTCAACAGCTAAACATACCCTCGAAATGTCCCACACAGCTTACAGTCTTTCACTCGCACTCATTTTACACACACACACACACACACACACACACACACACACACACACACACACATGCAGGTATATCAATTAAAATAAATATCAGAACATTCATTCATTCATTTTTCTTCGGCTTAGTCTCTTCTATAGCAGCAGTCGCCACATGGGAATGAACCGTCAACTTATCCAGCATTTGTTGTACGCAATGCATTAATTATGTGAACTTAGTGTTGGTAGTCACTTGCAGTTTCATATATGGCTATATTTGCAAATTACATATATGATCAAGTTCATATTTGGATTTCACAGATGTAAAAATGTGAAAATATTTCAGATTATTTCACAAAAACCTGTTAATATTTACTATGCTTTTTAAACAATTACAAATGCACATATTTTAAACAAAATTAAGTATAGTTTTATCATATTTCATAATTTTGTAATTTTATCAGATTTACCTACAACAAGGAAAAAACCCATTGATATGGTTCTAAAGCATGTTTACAGCATAAAGAACTATTTAAATCTATTCAAAATTCCTACACCTTTTGGACCTGCATCGCACATTGCAGATACACATGTACACACATAGATTTTTTCTACATGCATAAAGTATAAAGAAAGAATAAATGTATTTCATAAATGCCATGATTAAACTTTACATATAAAATCACATCACCTCTCTCAATCAGGATCATATTACATTCTCTGATCCATCTGTATACTTTTTAATTTTCAAAAACATTCAATTGCAGTTAAGTTGTTTTTGTTGGCTATATATAAACTGTGAATATTAAACATCCATATAATTTCATAGTGCGTTATTACACTGTATGTCCGTTATGTTGTCTATGTAATATGTTATAGCGTTTACAATTAAATTCACTACTGAAAAAGTTAAATTGAGTCTCATTACTTCACCGTCCTATTTGGACGAATCAGAAACACATAGGTGCTTGAGTCGCAGATCTGCCTGCTGCACAGGTCTGCAAACTCCCCCCTAATCGTTTCAATGGCCAGGGGGAAGGGACAGGGGTAGGCGTACAGTATAAAATAGTTTTTGGTTTGAACCCTAACTGCAGCGCGTGTGCGCGAAGTGGATTGCGGTTTGGCCGGGGAGTCCCTACAACATCAGAACGACATCAATTTGGTACGAAACTAGAAGTTATGTTGTCATTTCATAATGTCCCGATTCATTGCAATTTATCGCTATAGCATTTCTACAAGTTATCTTTGAGATGGTGGCAGGCTTGTTTTGCAGTTATTGCCCAACAAAACAACTTGTTAAACTTCGATTTTGCGTGTCAAAGGTAACGTTAATGTTGTTTTATCATCAGCAGTAGCCCTTGCTGAATTGCATATCTTCATTCATTACTGCGGGCGACGTTATAGTGGGCGACAGTAAAATTATATATTTTTCGTAATTTTAAGACTTTTTTGCTCAAAGTAACATTTTATTAATTTGGATTGATGCTTGACACATTTCGCAGTTTGAAACGCTCCTTAATTCCGTCTGGAAAAGTTGCGTGCTAAAATGTTAAAAGTGTTTTTTTGTTTGTTTTTTTAATAGTTTTTATTTTACAATACGCTGTTGTTAAGTTTTGGAGAAGTGAAGTAACACATTTATGTAACTTTTATTTCTTTTCAGGAATATATTTATTTTCCTATTATTTTATATATTGTCTTATCGGACGTTTCGTCATGTTGGCTCCAGTTAGGTAAAGTACAGATATTTCTTTTATGTTTCTTTCAAAGAGTAATCAAAATTATTTTTTTCTGTTACAGAATCATAAATTGCCTTTATTGTCATTTAATTGTTTATTAGTTGATTTTTTATTACAGTTAACAATATAGTTTCTGACAAAAAAAGCCATTTGATGGAAAGCTGTAGTAAATTTTGCCTTTCGACTCCACCACAATTATGAATAGATAGTAATGTGAAACAGACTCTGAATGTGTCAGCTTTGAAAAGGATGCAGAAGCACTATACGTTCATAAAAGTGGCCAGTCTTGCATACATGTGACTTCTGAAGCCATATCAAAGGTTCACACTACAAGTTTAAATGCTTAAATTTGATTTTGTTTCTCAGATCTGATATTGCATAACTGTTCAAAATGTTATGATAAATGTGGCCAATATCTGATTGCAGTGTGAACAGATCATGTTCTTTAAATGACCTGCATCTGCAAAAGTACAATTACGGACAGCACAAAACTTCTAATTACGGACACAATGTATAGTATACTGTAAGCACGTTGTCAAATTATGCTAATGATTATTGCCCTTTTCACAGACAACAAGTTGTATTTTATTAAATGTAAAGTGTTGTTTTGCTATTTTTAATGTTTATTTTGCCATTTAAAACTTAAAAAAAAGGTCTCTTGTGATTAAAGCTGGGCATTATGGCAAAAAAATATCACAAAAATTTTCTTCATATCTGTCGATATCGATAATTATTACGATAAATGTAAAATCTTTATATCTATCAATTTTATACGATTTTTAGCTCGAGTTGCGAGTCTTTCTGACCACTGATTTAATGAACTCATCAAGGGTTAATGAGCACCCGCAGACTGAACTAGGAAGATCTCTGCAAAATTATTTAATTTTACTTCGTTATAAACAACAGGCACATGCTGAAGGGGGGTTTGGATGCTTGAGCACCTGCCCTTTTATTTCATCTCTCAGAAAGAAAGTTCCCCTTAAAATAAAAGTAGGCTACCCTTTGTACACAGATTCCCTATCTGCAACACCCTTGATGCTCTTCAGCTTCACGATCAACCCGTGGCCTCATCATTATCCAGATTGGTTAACAAGCACCAGTTTTGCCTTCAATCTTTTTTTCAAAATGAACAACCAGCTTTCTGTGGTAATGTTATTCCCCTGTGTGCCATTCTACTATGCTGCTGAGGAGTAGATGATGTTTGTAGCACAGAAAAATAACGCATGTAGCTCATCCTACATAACCGATCACAATGAGGTTGCATTGCCAAACATCAGATCTGTGTCTGATTTAATACTACATATAAAAGCGGCATAAATCAGATCTGAAAAGATCCTACTCCATGCAGTCTGGGCTGTTCACACTGTCATTAACATTTCATTTAACATAACATTTTCTTGTTGGCTTAGTCCCTTAATTAATCTGGGGTCGCCACAGCAGAATGAACCGCCAACTTATCCAGCACGTTTTTACTCAGCAGATGCCCTTCCAGCCGCAACCCATCTCTGGGAAACATCCACAAACACTCATTCACACACACTCATACACTACGGACAATTTAGCCTACCCAATTCACCTGTACCACATGTCTTTGGACTGTGGGGGAAACTGGAGCACCCGGAGGAAACCCACACCAATGCAGGGAGAACATGCAAACTCCACACAGAAACGCCAACTGAGCCGAGGATCGAACCAGCGACCCAGCGACCTTTTTGCTGTAAGGCAACAGCACTACCTACTGTGCCCCTGCTTCGCCCTTTTCATTAACAAGTGGGCAAAAAAAATCAGATTCACATTTCACAAAAATCAGGTCACATTTGGCTGTAGTGTGAACCTAGCCAAAGGAAATGAATAAAAAACAAACCAGAATTGTTAAAACAAATGCATGATTCAATGAAAATCTGACATCTACGTGTGTTGGAGTTAATTATTTTTGTCTAAATAGTTTTGAGATATATTATTAAACATATTTGTCCCTCATAGAAACCAGTGTGAGAATAGAAGCTTGACAGTGGTGTGTATAATAGGGAAAACAAAAAATACATGTTGCTGTCCCTCAATTATTTGTCTCTAGAGCTGTGAGCACTGAGAGTAGGAGATGTCCTCTGTTAACTGTTCAGCCCTGTCGAGGACTGATGGATGAAAAGTTTCAGGTCGTCATAAAAAATTTACTGCCCAATCAAGAGGTAACGCTACACTCTCTACATCAGTCTGAAGATAAGGACTTCTGGGAGGCTTTTGGACACTATATCAGTGATGAACATGGAACAGTAACAGGTGTGTTCAACAATCTTACTCTTTAAAATTTTACCATGCCAAACATACTCCATACCAACATAAACTACCCTTTAAGATAGTGGAGAAAAAAGTCGCAGAGGAAATAACTGATCTGTACAACACCTTACACCTTTCTCTTTCAAATCGTTATCCACTTATGACTCAATCTCAGATTGTTTCTATTCTTTGCTTGTATAAAAATGGCTCATTTTGTACAGTTGGTACAGAACTTGCTTTGACAAACTAAAGATAATATTAAATTTAATTTAGCTGAATGTTCAAGTCCTACCAGATCTATCTATTAAATATAGTTAAACATTAATAACCCAAAACAGTGGTCCAGAATCCACGTATGACATTATGACTAAATGTATCCTGTTGTAATAGTGGCAAAAGATGAAAGTTTGGGAGGCACGTATGAAGGCACAGAGCAGATGGGTTTGCTGTGGAGCCTGAGGCCTGTACCAGGAAGTCGACCTGCACTCAGGTAACATACTGTAGAATGATGGTGTATTCAGTCTTCAGTCTGTTTTACAAAGTTTAAATATTATTTTTCGCAAATGAATTCAAAATGTGAGGCAAAGTCATTACTATGTTTATTCCTACACGTTCTCCCCCCCCCACCCCTCCCTCCCCTTAATCAAGGTTGCGCAAGATGAATGTTCTCACACCGATGGTAATTAACATTTCAGTCTACAATGGGCATCTATCTCAAGGATTCAGTCAGGCCTCTTTGCTGGCCACAACTGTCACAGAGCGCTGGTACATGGCACCAGGTGTAAAGAGGGTGAACATAAAGGAGAAAGGAGTTCTAGGAACTTTATTTCTTCCCCCAGGTAAAATACAATTCATGCGTGTATAAATGTAAATATGCCTCTTCTAAGATGTAAGATCTATTTATTTGTTTGTTTGGTGATAGTCAAGAAAGTCCAAACTGTCAGAGTGATAAGTTGGTTGAGTTATGTACACTTAAATGACACTTAAATGACAGCAGTCAACTGAAATAAGGGGTGTGGGAAGTAATTTTTTATTTGAAGGAATAAACAGGATTGATTCAACATAGCAAATTATTGCATGATCAGTGGTAAAAAGTACTGAAAAACCATACTTAAAAGTACCATTACTTGCTTAAAAATGTAGTGCAAGTAGAGTAAAAGTATCTGTGATAAATATTACTCAAAGTATGAGTAAAAAGTAGCCATTTTAGAAGTACTCTAGAGTAGTAAGTATTATGCAATAAAAAGCTGATGCACTTACATGTAATTTGTCGATGTGTGTAACATAACATTCTGTAGTGCATTTAGTTATTGCCCAGCAGGTACACAATGTCATAAAACATTATACTAGGTTAGATTTAGGTCGTGAGGTCAGGTGACCATAATTCCATGTCTAGCATGTATCTAGGGACAACGTTATTTTGATCACCAATGACAACGTCAAATGATGTTGATATTTGGTTGATTTTAGGTTGTGTTAGAAAATGATCCGAAATCCAACGTCAAGCCAACATCTCAAATCATATTGACGTCAAAATCTGACATTTATTTGTCAGGTATGGCAACCAAAATCCAACGTCTGATAGATGTCATATTGGTAACATCAACACAACGTCAAATTGTAACATCATTAGACAGTGATATTTGCTTGATTTTAGGTTGGACGTTGGACATTGACGTCAAACCGATTTTCTTTGGACGTTGGACATTGACGTCAAACCGTTCTGACGTCAAACCGATTTTCATTTCCAATCAAAATGCAGCGTTTCCACAACGTTGAGGTATAACGTCAATCTAACGCCATGTTGATCTTGTGCCTGCCAGGTGTTTAAGGCCAGTTCGGTCTTGATACAGTAAACATCCATCATCTTCTCATCAGTGATATGCGTCTAAACAGTCACTGAGTCAATGCATCTACAGATTTTGGACATATTTAATGCTTCCAAACAGTTTGCTGCAATTATAAATCGACTATACAAATTATAGTCAATTAAATAAGAAATCACTACTTGATGAAGATTAATACAGTAACTGGTAGGATGTGAAAGTGTCTCTAATTTTGATCAGTATTGATTTTAAATGTCTAATTTGCATTTTTTTAATACTGTGCTTCAGAATACGCGAGTCATAACATATGCTTTAAAACCACTTTTTAACTCCTGTTAGTATATCCTGGTTATTTTTAGGATATCGTAGATTCTTCTCCTCCACTCTGTCAAAATAGGGAAGGATATGCATGTACGTCAATTACATCACAACTATAATTTAATGAACTAGTTTGTAAATATTCTGCTGTGTGTCTATTTTTAGGCTCTGGGCCTTATCCAGGAGTGCTGGACCTATGGGGCGGAGGTGGTGGATTGATTGAATATCGTTCTGCTCTGCTTGCATCTCATGGTTTTGCAAGTATGGCCCTTGAATATCTCTCTCCAGAAAAGCTGAAAATGACTGAGGTTGATGGTACATATTTTGAGGTAAATTTAAAATGTTGACATCCTTGGATTCCTGCTTCCTTGGATCATCTTTTGTAAAATCATTTTATTACCTATGTATTTTGTGTGTTTCCCACAGATATTTCTTTTTACTTTGTATGTGTGTGTTCCGATAGAAAGCATACCAGATCTTGCAAAATCATCCATTAGTACAGAAGGACAAGATGGCGGTACTTGGGTTGTGTTTTGGAAGTGCCATCACATTAACTATGACTGCCTACTCCAGAGTCATCAAGGTTTGCTTCCCTACGTATACGTTATATATGTACAGTATTTTGAAGGAAACTTTTTTATTGTTGATTGTAATTTTACTTTTTTAAACATGTACTTTTGCTTGTAGCCCCAGTGCTGTGTCTGTATCAGTGGAAGTCATGCCATTCCTGTTGATAAATGTCTCTTTGAAGTCTTTGAGGACATAAAAAAGTAAGCAAATCCTAAACTTTTATTTACAATCTGACTGAGCGTCACTTTATATTTTCTTGAATAGGGAAAGAAGTTGCAAATGTCAGCCTTACAAATCTTTCACAAGTCAGTGCACACTCGAGGTGATTATATACAGGATAAGAGCAATGTTGCAGAGTGATGTTATTGGCTACTTTCCCAACAAAATGGAACAAAATTCTAGCAGCGAATCACTGATGACTGGCATGGAGCAGTCCAAAAATACTAACAAGATGGTGATTGCTCAGCAGCAGTAGAGCTAGAAAAAGGAGCGTAAACTCATAGCTTGTCAACAAAAAAGACAAAGATAAAGGACAAAGATTTTTTGTATATGATAAAAGCATTTCTGATAAAGCAAATATTAAGCCGAAGGAAAGTAAGTAAGAATAAGTAAAGTCCCCCATTATGCTTTTATGAGTATTACCAGTGTTTAATGTAGCTGTTTTTGAATGTCAAAAGTTTTAAAGGGTCTTTGCATTGCGCTCATAATCAGAAGCATGTGATGGGTTATTATTAAATCTGTTGCAGCACACAGATATAATGCCTCATTTCCACTGGGCTGTATAGTACGGAACAATAAGATTCTGTACAGGTCACTGTGATCAGATGGTTTTTGTGGTTTCACTGCCAATATTACCCTTACTTGGTGTATGCCAGAATTAAGTGATCCACATCATTCTTGCTCAAAGAGAGCCATATGGCTTAAATATATGCAGTACATACTGTAAAAAATGCACTTCCTTTGTTGTAGTTCCCCTGGCTTGTTCCAATAAGCTAGCACAGCTAGTGTTTTTCAGCCAATGATGAACTTCCGGTGAAAGCTTTATGTAACTATTTTCAATTTCATAAGGTTTCTTTTACAGCATCGATGTTGTAATGCAATTCAAATATATTTAGTTACATAGACTTATGAATTCATTTAGTTGTTCAAGCATAAAAAGTGATTTAAATGCAGGTGCCATTATTAGCAGCAGGCTAGCACAGAAATTCAATTGAAAATACTAGGGTAAAATTAATTTCCATATAATAAAAACATGGCATTGAAAAAAATTACTTAATGCAGTGCTTCTTATTTGGTCTGATACCCACTTTATATCGTATTTCAGCCAGGCAGTGAAGATCACTTTTTTATTATTTTTTTAAAATCAGGTCTTAAACGAAGTGAATTTGTATGGGATGACAATTAACCGGAAGCCCTGAGGCTGGTGGACTGAATAGTCTGTGTGCATATACCCCATTATTGGTAAAAACAATATGCGTCTCACAGAATCTAGTCAATTTTTAAGCACCATACTCATTAAAGGATCCCAAAAAGTTATTTAAAGTGCACCTATGAGGGAAAAATAAGCTTTGAGAAGCTGCTTAATCATTACGGTGTGTAGATATAGTGTGTTCATACTGAGAAATAAACTTTCTTAATGAATAAACTTTTTTTAATGACCTGACCTTAAAATATGATCCAAATCCCAGTGAATTCGAGGGTTGCTGCACTATGACATAGGAGAAAACCGCCCTGCTCACCATATTGAGTGACAGGCATGTATTATGTGACAATCCTTCTTCACTGGTTACTTATATAGGTGTACATATTTTTTTTGTGTGTGTGATCACAGTTACAATTAACATGTGTCCGTATAATGTGTATAAATATGTCCACAAAACAGGGTTTGCAAAAAAACTGAGATTAAAAGATCTGTCCCAACTCTCCGTGATCAGCTGCACATCAAAAAATGAGTTTTGCAAGTTTAAATGAGAAACAGACACGCATGTGGGAATAGTGGGTGGGGAGAACAAGATTTAAAGGCACAATAAGCAACAATATCTACAAAGTCCTCTAACCCCAAAATTCACATATTCAGGAGAGTATAAAAATGATCTGTTAGGTATTTTGAGCTGGAACATTCTGGAAACACCAAAGACTTCTTACCTCTTATAAAAGAGTATTCAAGATGATGTTCATAAAATAATAAAATTCATCTCTAAAAGTCACATCAATCTCTGCTGGAAGTTTATTGGTGGCTGCAAAACAAGTCTGTGTATACTGTATATCCCATTCGTAAAAACACAATCTACATAAGCTTTGTGTGACTAAAATAGTCTTCAAAATATCATACCGGTCAAAAAGAAATGATGGCATCATCCTTCAAGCCTGAACATTCTTCAGTTTGAACTGCATAGTTGCCTTCAGCATGAAAAAGCAACTCCGTTATTCATTCATTTTCCTTCGGCTTAGTCCTTTTATTCATCAGGGGTCGCCGCAGCGCAGACCCATACACACTCTAACCCACTACAGCCAATTTGGTTTAATCAGTTCACCTATTAAGCATGTCTTTGGACTATGTACCCGGAGAAAACTCATGCAAACACAAGGAAAACATGCCCCCATGCCTCCAATCCCATCCTTGAAAAACAGTTTTGCTTTTTGTTATGGATCCAGGACCATATTAGCCTTTAAGAAAAAAGATTGGGTAAAGTTTGCCTGCCGAGATGCTCTGTCAGATCGACACATTGCACATAAACTGTTTTAAAAAATAAATGACGTGTCTATCTGCATAAACGGGATGCACAGATATACAAATCTACATTTGTTGACAGACAGTTAGGGCTACCTATTGTAAATTTCGGCCTGAATATTTTGAGTGGGCAAACATTTTAGTCCTATACCTTAGCCAGAATATAAAGTACACTTTTAAAGTTTACTTTAATCATTACTATTGGAATGTGAAGACACTTTCAAAGCACAACAAAAATGTTTATGAAGACAATCACCTATTGAACTTTAAGATATAGTATTGGACATTTGATTTCCAATGCGCTGTCAGCAGAAAACCAATCAGAACAGATTTGGCCATCTGACCTATCAGAGAAGCGTGTACTTATCCAAATGGAAGGATTTAGAGAGACTAAATCATTTGAGACACTTTGAGAAATAGAGGTGATACCACATTGTGTGATTATGAGAAAACAAAAAATAAATGCAGACCTACAAAACAAAATTAGGATCTTTTAAAATACTACAATAGAGACATTTTTAACAAAAAAAAGTTATATTTGACTATGCACAATATTAATATAATCATATTTAGTATTCTAAGTATTTGAATGAACTTCTACAGCATATTTATTTATAATTGTGTGTACAGTTTAATTTTAACAAGTAAATTAAACAGATTAAAGCATCTAAAGAACTAATTTACCAAGAAATAGCACATCTTACAATTTTTGTAATGGTATTAGATGTTTCTGTCATATATATTGTTCTTTCACAAAGTGAATAAACCCTCTCATATCAGGCACTTGAATAACTGGTCCTAATGATAAACAGTAACACACAATGGTAATGCTCATTGCAGGCTTAACGGTAAAATACAAGTGAATGAGGACAACCACTTAATACACAGAAACACGATCTTGCCAATTCCCTCAGACCCGGCTCTGAAAGTAGACGTAAGTTTGACTTCAGCATGTTTTTTTGTCTTTTTTTTTTTTTTTGTAATTATCAGTTCCGTTTTCAGGTTGGGAGAATAAAGTGTCCTCTTTTGTTGGTGAATGGTACTGATGATCAGAATTGGGCTACCGTTGAATCTGCTGAAGATGTGAGTCTATTGTTTGTATGAATGTTTTTTTTTTTTTTATGTATGTATGTTAATTTATATATTTCAGTCAAATTCCCTGACTTTCACTGACATAACGCCACATCAGTAGGAAATACTGCAAAACTTTCCTCTATCCTTGCTCAAAGATAACTTGAAAAAGAAATATTTAAAAAAGGATTAAAAATTTCACTGTAGGGCTAATAACATTAACATAAACCTGTAGCTCAATAATGATTAACCTTTATAGAATTTATACAGTAAAGACTATATACAGTTTGCAATGTTATACTTGATTACTGTATATTATTCAGTTTGTTTAACGAAAAAGATGCATGAAAAACCTGAAAAGCACTGTTTATTTAAATAGTGTGTATGCTATATTTTATTCATTTTGTGTTGTGCTTTACTTTTATTAATTTTATTTTTCTTTGACAGTGCTTTTTTACTGAGCATATCATATATACCGTACCGAAACAGTGGCCAGAAAACCAAACATGAGAAGTCTGTATTGTTATACAGCAAGTAAACACGTGGTTGATGAACATGCATGACTGTTAAGCTCATGTCTTTTAAAGCACTTTGTACATGAGCATCTCGCTCACTGCTAAACAGAACAAACCAGCTGAAATCGGCCTGGCTGGTCAATCGAGTGTCTCTAATTGAAAGCAAGTTAAATTTAATATGATGAGAAAAAACTAATTCTGATATTCCATTACTTGGACATAAAATATAAACATTTCTTTGACTTTCAATGACTGGAATAGACCTTTTGTAATTTAATGGTTATACTTCAAAAAGATGTGTGTAAGCTCATGTAAAGGAATAATAACAATAGATCTTTTTTTTGTAAAAATGTTATCTTTTACGTAATATATTTTATCCTTAATTAGATGGATAAAAATCAACTTAACCAAAAATTAGAAATGTGGATGTACCCTGGTGGATTTGTTTTGATACATTTTTGCTGAAGGGAGGACATCAACATGACATCAGGTTGACGTTGTACGCCAATGTCGTAGGACTTTCCAGTTTGTTTGGAAATAAAAAATCAGGTTGACATCAGAACCCAACGTCAGGCTGATGTCAATGTCCAACCTAAAATCGACCAAATATCAACATCTAATGATATTACAGCTTGACGTTGTGTAGACATTACAGAAATGACATCTATCAAAATCCAAAAATGGATTTTGGTTGACATACCTGCTGAATAAATGTCAGTGTATGATGTCAATGTGACGTTAATTTGAAATGTTGGCTCTACATTGGATTTTGGTCATTTTCCAACACAACCTAAAATCAACAAAATATCAACGTCATTTCAAATCGTTATTGGACGTCAAAATAACATTGTCCTTAGATGCTGGTGACCTAAAGCTAACCTAATATTAACGTTGTAAGACGTTATGTGCCAACTGGAATGGTTCACTCAAAAAAGAAAATCCTGCCCTGGGTTATTCACCTTTGACTTGCTCCAAATGAGTTTTTATATAGATACACTGGACAATTTGAAAATCCTTTAACCACTGACTTCCATTGCATTTGTTTAGTAGGTTCTACTATGCATGTCACTGGTTACAGGTTTCCACCCTTCTTCCAATATTATTCATCAGATATTCTCATGAATGTTGGTACCCAAAATGTTCTGTTTACCATTGACTTTAAATAACAGTTATCCGTATAGTGTTCACACAAATGCAATTAATTAGAACCTTGATATGATTCATTTACACACAGATGGAGATGATGATGAAGAAAGCAGGAAATCGACAACTGCTGACTGTCTTGACATACCCTGATGCTGGTCATCTAATTGAACCTCCATACACACCTCACTTCAGAGCAACTAACTTCCTCCTGCATAAAATGAATGAGAAAGGCAAGCATACATGATCTATCATTGCCTTCTGTTTTGCAGTTTTCATATCCTTTTTCCTCACATGACAACTACGTTTTATTTATGAGCCGCACTTAGAAATTAGGGAACTTTCATTCAAATGAACATAAATAATACACCTGTTATAATATTCAATATACTATATGGTTTTATTTACATAATAGTGAGGTAGCCGAAATGGAATAGTTTTTTGCGATTTACAGTTTGTATTATACACAATAACAATCAGGATAATCTCCATTTACAAATATCAAATATCTGCAAAATGGCCAAAAACGCTGTATTACAAGATGACAGTGGCAAATGCTGGCTTGGTATACGCAAGTATATGTAGAAAAGTGACAACATGTCTACAGCCGCTAATTTGGTATGCATTTAGAACTCTCCATTTACATATAAAGCATCTGCGATGTGGGATATAATATTCGTTAAGTGAATCCACATGTTGCACTAGTATGAAACTCATACAGGTTTGAAACATGTGGAGGGAGAGTGAATAATGTCAACTAACATTTTTTAGTAATGCGTCTCTTTAAATCTCCTTAAATGTGTAAATATCTGTTTGAATGTACATCTGAATGTTGTTTTGTTGTTTCTGCAGTTGTCATGCTGTGGGGTGGACAAACTAAACCACATGCATACGCTCAAGAGGACTCATGGAAGAAGATTTTAGCATTTTTTCGAGAGCACCTCTACGGTTCAAGCGTTAAAGCCAAATTGTAGTTTCTTCATTTGAGACTGTGATATATGACCAACTTCATTTCAAAATGCCTTTAAATTCAATGATGATGCTGCCAGTACTTGATGTTACATTTCACTTTGTTATCTGTATTGCATAAAAGAGGATCTTAAGTATATTTTAAGCAATACTTTTGTAGCAGACACATGCCAAAATGCATTATTAATTATTGTAATAATTATGTACAGAAATTAATAATTACATGGTTATGGTAACACTGCCAAATAAATGTATTAGATTCTGTTTGCGGAGAAAGACACTTAAGATGATTCTGGCACTACATTTTCTTATTTTGTAATCAAAATCTACCTCTGCTTAATAAAAGCATAAATAATAATTTGAGATCATTTCATTTTCTAATTTAGTTGGACTTTTGTTTGTTTTTAAAAAAAAAGATTGTGTGTTTTCTAAAATGACTATTATGATTATGAGAATCTGTGTTTTAAACATGAAAAATATTTATGCAATCTAGAAGATTTGAGATAATTTGGATGAATTTGCTATAATAAAAGTTAGTTTTATTTATATTAATGGTATTTTGGGATGTAAATACCTGTTGTATAATTAACCTGTATGAGTTGCAAAAACAATGAGTTTGCTCATTTTTTTACCGATAAGATAATAATATCAGAAAGGCAATCAGCTCATCCAATCAGCCAAGTTTTGCTGTTGTCAGAAAGGATCAATCACGACTAAAGTCAAGGCAATTGATAGCAAAATTTTGGAAGCAATCGTACTGATTATAAAAACATTAACCTTTAGTCTTGACACACTACACACATTGTTCTTCAAAATGATGCAATTGTTTAGAAATCGATCTCCTTGAAGTGGAAAATACTTCTTCCTGGGACATTTTTAACTCCCTTAAAATTGCAGTTGTTAAACCCCTCTTTAAAAAAGAGCAATTTGGATAACACCCTATTGAGCAACTACAGACTGATTTTGGTTTCATATTTTGACAACTTCAACTCCTCTGCTACAGGTGTTTTTTAATCATTTATTGATTTATTTTTGTTTGTTAATTTTTGTTATTTTATTTATAAGTTTGTATTATTATTATTATTGAGAATGGAAAGATTGTGAATGTATGCAAACTGATTGTTATCTTTTGTGTAATTATAAACTGTATTAATGCCTTTCTGTTTCCGTTCAAGCAATGTTTATAAAAAAGATGTTCCTTGAAGCCAAGAAAATCTTCATCTATAGCTCAACAGATAAGGGAGAAGAGCAGTCTGACATGCTTTAATTTACTAGCGTTAGATAAAAGAAACAGATTTTAAAAAGGTGGCACTTAGTGACACTTTTGCTTGTACAATAAACTGCCTGCACAATATCAATTCATGGAAGAAGATGAAAAAAAACACTAAGCTCTGAATATATCCTATCTACTGGAAAATGTTTTTGATTCGAGTCACCAGCAGATGGCAGTAATACACTGATAAGTGTGGCATGTTAAAAATAGAAAGAAGAAGAACAGGACGGGACCATGGGTAGGTCTATGGTGGGACACCACTCAAAAACATAAATATTTTGTATAAGTGTGGGTCAATATGTTGGTATTTAATAATTTGTATATTTGTTGAAATCTATGCAATTTACGCGTTGTCTTTGTGGTGGTTGGAGCTTGTGTTGCATTAATTGTGATTTGTCTTCCCTTCAAAATGACATGCTAATTTAGAGTTTCAGTGTCGGAATTTACAGTATTTGCATTAAAAAGGTATGCCCTGGCTTTAGAATGTTATAAAGGACATTTGCTGCTGTGATGACATTCTGTGTCAAAGGTAACATTTCGTCATCAGCATTAGTCCATGCTGAACTTCAGAACGTCATCACTACAGGTAGTTATTTGAACGATAAGTTAAATTATCTAACGTTATACTAACGTTACGTCTACAATTTGTAGTTATAACGTTCATTTCCTGTAGGTAAATTAAAATAGATTGGATTTAAATTAGATGGATATCGTTCTTTAAAACTTCCTTCTGCCTGGGTCTTTCACTTACGCAAGCTTACACGTTAAACAAGTTGTAAACTTTTTGAGAAGTGAAGTAATACATAATTTATTTATCTTTTGCCTTTGTAGGAATATTGTGACTGACTCTAATCAGTTTATAGAAGAAAGAAACGTCTATTATCGGACTACCATGTTGGCACCTGTTAGGTAACGTACATATATTTCTTGTCATCAACAAAGGTTTTAACAAAATACTGTATGTATTTTTTACAGCTACAGAATCATGACTTCGTAATTTAATTAATTCGTTTATTTTTTTGTCTGTGATTGTGATTAAGTTAACATTATCATAATTTGTGACATTGCGGCAGGTAATTGTTGATTTTACTAGCGTTTATTAGGCAACATGATTGCAACTCACTTACCCTGATTGTTCCAAAGTCATGTAGGCTAACTGTGTAGTGTGTAGCAAATGGGGAATTTTGCCTTTTCCCCTCCATGACATTGATGAATAGTAACTGACTAACGTTAGTGTAGTGTAAAAATAAATGTAAAAGCACCACATTTCATAAAAATGGTCAGAGTCTTGTCTTAAATGTGTCTTCAGGAAAAAAAATATAACATTTTCAGAACAATTCTTCTCCTGAGATAGTAATGCCTGGTTTATTAATCAAAGTCAGCTTTGTTGTTGTCTATTAAATGATATGTACAGTAAATACAATTACACATATAATTTAATCTTAAAATATAAGTAAAAAAATTGTAAACAACGCAATTACACTCAAGGGCACATGGCAAGGAGTGCAAACCAGAGTTGTGCAGATGCTAAACAGTTTATAGTGCAACAAGCTTGTAAATATGATCATATTTACTATATTTATCATAAGCCTGATAAGGTAAGATGATATGAAAAGGTAAATATGATTAAACATTTGTGAATCGATGATTTAGTCACATTACTTTGTCTTTTTAAATTTAAATAATTTAGCATTTAAGTGTGTTTATATAATAATTTCTATAAAAATAATATAAAAATAATTAAATGTAATATAAAAATAGATAGGCCCACTGTATACAGTAGTCAACATTGAAAGTGGGTCACAACATTTTATTAAAGTTAAAGTCCTAAAAGTATTCAACAACTCTTATTGTTGTCCAAGAAAAATATTGAAAAACTAATAATAAACTAACAACCACTAATAAAAACCAATAAGTGTATTCACAACAGTGAATCAAAGGGAAGATTTGTACATTGGAAAGACTTATAGGGAAAAAAATATTTTTGTTTGTTTATTTATTTATTTTTGTTTATTTATTTCTCCCTAGGACTGTGAGCACCGCGAATAGGACAAGTCCTTTGTTGACTGTTCAGCCTCGTCGAGGACTGGTTGACGAGAAGTTTCAAATTGTCATAACAAATTTACTGCCAAATCAAGAGGTAACGCTGCACTCTCTACATCAGTCTGAAGATAAGGACTTCTGGGAGGCTTTTGGACACTATATCAGTGATGAACATGGAACAGTGACAGGTGTGTACAACAATCTGATGCATGACTCCAACCTAAACATACTCCATACCAACTACCCTTCTAAAGTGTGGAAAAACTGACAGACTGAGGCTAGACATTATTTTACACTTTGCACTCTCATCCCCTTACTTTTCTTGTCCTTTACTACATTCATTGCTTGAAAAAAATTGGTTTATCAGTGCAAATTTGGCTTTAATATTATACAGTTGGTAAAGAAGTGGATGCATGCTGCACAGCTGGTTTGATGACATCATTAAAAACAAGCATGGGTAACTGCACCAACTTTAGCTTGAAAACTGTGTTTTTGACATTTAACTTTTACGGTTTGTTTCCCAAATTCAAGAGCATCACAGTGCTTTACTGTGTTAATGTTGCAGTTTGCATAAAGAGTGATAATGTTGCAGTTTGCATAAAGAGTGAGTGGCGTGGCAACAAAAAACTCCATGAGTTTGTTTAAGGTTTTGCAGAAATAATGTCAAAGCTGAATTTTCAGCAGCAATTACTCCAGTGTTGAATGTCACAATCTTTCCTAAGTCATTACATTATATTGATATTGTACTCAAGAAAAATGTAATATTATTTAACTATTATTATCATCATCATCATCTGTTAAAAATGAATGTGCTGCTTATAATTTTTATGCAAACCAAGATACATTTTTCAAGAATCTTTGATGAATAGAAAGTTAAATGTTTAATTTCTTCTTTTACAACTAATATTACAGGTTTTTTAAACTTTTAAAAAGTTTATATTTTAACAGCCTCAAACTTTAAACAGTAGTGTATAATCTGCAAAGACTGTTTATTCCATTTGTTATTTGTTTTGTTAAGTACTTAAATTACCTCACATTATGATAAATAACCTGCTTCGACTAATTGAAGATCAGTCACTTTAGCAATGAATGACATTTGTATGTATCCTGTTGAAATAGTGGCAAAAGATGAAAGTTTGGGAGGTACATATGAAGGCACAGAGCAGATGGGTTTGCTGTGGAGCCTGAGGCCTGTACCAGGAAGTCGATCAGCTCTCAGGTAATGAATGATAGTGTACTAAGTTTAAAAATACATTTTGATCCTAATGAATCCAAATTGTGAGATTTAAGTTTATTTATTTTATTGCATATTCATTCACTAATTTTTCAGGTCTCTTTTCATTTAAGGTTGCGCAAGACAAATGTACTCACACCGATGGTAGTTAACATTTCAGTCTACAATGGGCATCTGTCTCAAGGATTCAGTAAGACCTCAGTGCTGGCCACAACTGTCACAGAGCGCTGGTACATGGCACCAGGTGTCCAAAGGGTGAACATAAGAGAGAATGGAGTTCGAGGAACTTTATTTCTACCCCCAGGTACACACACACAGGAGAGGTGGTACACTTGTGGTAATACAAGAAAAAAATGATTCTGTGCAATTTTCCAACCAACGTTTTAAAACATTTGAATGAGTAAATGCACAATATGTACTTGCTTTTAATGTTCAGGTTATTTTAGTGTACAGATTTTTGTTTGTTATCAGCACTAGCTACTAGTGTACGCGAAAAATCGCATTAGGAGTTTAGGGATATGGCACAAGACATAAACGTGTATTCAACACTTATATTCAGCAGTCTACATATGTTTGTTGCTTTACAAACATGCACAGCAAGTTTTAATAAATACAATTAAACATACCTTATGCCTTCTTGGGGTGGCGCTGAATAAATTTATAATCCATATATCCATCATTTTGGATTGCGAGAACTGCAGTGCATTGGTGTCAGTTGCTTAGCAACAGAAAACAACCGCAAAACCATTGTGCACCTGGCTTTATTGCTCTACCTGCATCTCCTGTTTTTAAAATCAGAGTCCTACAAAGTAAGTTTAAAATATGCTAAGACACTTTAAAATAAGGTAACAAACTGTCTTTTGGCAGCTCATGCAGGTCCAGGTGATGTAGAAAGTGACCTAAAGTGTACGCAAATGTTGAGCTAATGAATAATTCCATGTGCAATTTAATCTGATAGGCCTATTTTTCCCTAATGTTTTACACTCGTTGGGTTTACATGAGAATGAGAAAACAATGGTGTTTAAGGCTCATGGTGTGGCCATGTCTACACTTATCATTCAGCTAGATCTACGCATTTTAGAGGCCAGATTTGTAATTATATGGCACCTTTAAGGAATGTACAACCAGATACAGATTAACACCAGTAATATAGGCTATATTCACTGGGACTTTTAAATTTGAATAAGCTAGCTCAATCACTTCAGGTAAACTTTCACGCCATTATAATATTACAGTGTTTAAGATTAGTTTAAATGTAATCCTTTTCACTGCCTGACTGAGATACAATATGACTTATGTCTTATGTCACAGACAATAAGCAGCACTACATTAAAATTCATTGTTCCCACGCCATGTCTTAAAAATACTCTGGTAAAAGAAATTTTCAAGAGTTCACACTTAGCTGATGATTGATTATAAGCAAGTTTGGCATGCTGTCCCGGGAGAGAGCCCTGAGCTCGAAGGTTCTTGAGCCCTGGGCTCCCTCCCATTTGGAGGAAGAGAGGGGAGCCTCGAGCTCAGGTAGATCTCGACAACTCCCCTTTGATAATAGCTAAAGACTAAGATTGAAAGCTATTAAAAGATATGCTGCATTATTTGATTACCTGTATTGAAATTTAGATTTAACGATTAACTTGTTGTGCATGTTTTTGGAATGTGGGAGGAAACCGGAGGACCCGGGGAAAACCCACGCAAGCACGGGAAGAACATGCAAACTACACACAGAAACGACCACCGGCCTGTTAAGGAACTAGAACCGGTGACGTTCTTGCTGTGAGGCGACAGTGCTAGTCACTGAGCCACCGTGCTGCCCTATGGAGGGAAAGGTGAAAAGGTAGGGGTGGAAGGGGGGATTCTTCAAATCGAAGATGACTGTTGTGAAAAAACCCTGGCTCTTTATAGTGGTTAGGAATGGCCTGATTGGTGGATCAAGCATGCTAATGCAGAACCAGCCGTGTTCAATCATAATCACATGCTCCTCTCGAAATTAGTTTATGAATAAACTTCACTTCTTATTTTTAATGGAGTTTTGCACTCGCCTGCTGCTCCTAACAGTGCTTGCATTTACTGTAAACAGCCTTTTTACAATTGAACAACTGAATGAGTGCTGAAGTCTATTTAACTGATTATATTTTAATTAAAATTACATTATCAATGCTGTAAAAGGAACCTTATTAATTAAAAAAAATATTCACAAACCTTTCACTGAATGTTTATCGGTGGCTGAAAAAAAAACTAATTTTTGCATTTTTTCTGATTAAAGTTTTATTTGTTTCCAATACTGTGCTTCAGAATATAAGTAACTCATGTCATGTGTTTCAATAAACTCCTGTTTGGAAAACTTTAAATAAGACAAAGCAGTCACATAAACCTTTTTTCAACCTGCGCCATAATAAGGAAAAAAGAATGTTTCCCTTCTCCGTTTCATCACAACTTTAAATGCAGAAAAACTAACTTCACTAAATAACCTGATGTGTGTGTGTGTTTTTTAGGTCCTGGGCCATACCCAGGTGTGCTGGACCTATGGGGAGGAGGTGGCGGTTTGGTTGAATATCGTTCTGCCTTGCTTGCATCTCATGGCTTTGCATCCATGGCACTTGAATACCTTTCTCCTGATGAGTTGAGAACGGCTGATGTTGATGTCTCATATTTTGAGGTACATTTTGAATTTGGTCTCGTAATGTTATCGTGACTTCCTTGGTTTTCTGCTTTCTTTTTGACTTGTCATTTTATTTGCTTCCCATGTTTCCTGAATATTACATTTTACTTTGTATGTGTGTACATCTACATGTTTCCTGTAGAATGCATACCAGATACTGCAAAATCATCCAAAGGTACAGAAGAACAAGATGGCGATGCTTGGGTTGTCTTTTGGAAGTGCCATCACATTCAGTATGGCTGCCTACTCCACGATCATAAAGGTTTATTTAACTACACACAAAGTATAGTAAGCTGCATTTTGAATATAGCTTTTTAGTATTTAAATGTACTCCTACTGTCTTGTAGCCCCAGTGCTGTGTGTGTATCAGTGGAAGTCATGTGGTTCCTGTTGATAAATCCCTCTTTGAAGTCTTTGAGGAGATAAAAAAGTAAGTGAATGCTCAACATTTATTTGCAGTCTGGCTGAGCTTCATCTAAAGAGAGTAATGCTGGGTCTCATTCCTTCATACAACGCATAAAGCAACCAGCTGTTAACATATCATTAGTGATATACTGTAGGTAGATCCATCACCTTGATGGCCCAAGCAATAACAGAATTGGCCATCTGACCAGTCAGAGCAGAGTCATTTCGATAAAGGAGTTATGAATTAAAGTGGCTGAATCTTTGAATTAATAATTTGAGACTCTTTGAGAAATTTGTTTCTAAAAAATAATGTTCATTGCAGAAATATGGATAAGGTACATGTGAATGAGGATAACCATGTAATACAAAGAGGCATGATCCTGCCGATTCCCTCAGACCCGGCTCAGAAAATCGACGTGAGTAATACTTGCTACAAATTTGTTCATACAGTTGTAGTCAAAATTATTAGCCCTGCTGTTTTTTCTTTTTCAAATATTTCCCAAATCATGTTTGACAGAACAAGGAACTTTTCACAGTATTTCTTTTTTCCCCCCGCATTATTTTTTTCTTCTGGAGAAAGTCTTATTTGTTTTATTTTGGCTAGAATAAAAGCAAATTTAAAGGTCAATTTTAAAGTCAATATTATTAGCCTCTTTAAGCAATTTTTTTGGCATTGCCTACAGAACAATCCATCATTATACAAAGAATTGTCTTATTACCATAACTTGCCTTATTAACCTAGTTAAGCCTTTAAATGTCACTTTAAGCTAGTAAATACTAGTATCTCGAAAAATAACTAGTAAAATATTATGTACTGTCATTATGGCAAAGATAAAAGAAATTAGTTTTTATAAATGAATTATTTAAACTATTATGTATAGAAATGTGTTAAAAAAATCTGCTCTCCGTGAAACAATTAGGAAAAAATATAAGCGGGCCAATAATTCAGAAGAGCTAATAAATCTGACTTCAACTGTATATAGAGATATTTCAGTTTTTTTAGGCTCTTTATAAATATTACATCTATTTTTAACGCAGGTTGGGAGAATAAAGTGTCCTGTTATGTTGGTGAATGGTGGTGATGATCAGAACTGGGCTTCTGTTGAATCTGCTCAAGATGTGAGTCATAATATACATCTTCAGTTATATTGAACAGTATATAACTGTTCAGTGCACAGTATAAATGAGAATTTTGAAAATAATTATTTTGATTATTTCTCATTGCATATAAACAATATATTTTGATGCATTTTAAAAAAACTATATCATTATATCAATTAACTGAGTGGTCATCTAACATCTTCAGGAATAGAAAAATAATACATTTAAATTCAAATGAGTTTTTTTTTTCTGGCTGGGTGTCGATGTAACAATTTTGTATTGCATTACATCTACATGTTTTGAATGACAAAATAAAGGAAACTAAGTTTATTTAGTTCTCTTGAGTTTTTCTCTATTACATTTTTATTTAATACGTTTTTCTAACATATTCATTGGGGTGTACTAATTTTTTCACCATGATCATTTATTTTGTTAAATTTGTGACAGTTTTAGCTTTGGATCAAAACTAAATTAGATACGTTTTCTTGAAAAAAAAATATATTAGTAATAAAAATATTTGAACATGCTTAAGGACATTTACTTGTCTTTTTCACTGTATGCTTGTTTCATTTTGACTGATTTGATGTAAACATCAGTGGGGAAAAAAACTAATGATGGATTCATGCAAAGATAAAATCCCTATCATAATTTACTGACTTTCATGTCATCCCAATCCTTTGTAAATTTGTTCTTCTGCAGAAAACAAAATAAAATATTCGGAGGAATGTCTGTACTTAAACAGAAATGGTTACCGTTGACTTCCACAGAACTGGCAAACAATATACCTTTTGTTTTCTGGGAAGATTATTTTATAGTTGATTCATCCCATTAATCTCAACCAGCGGGTGACACTGTCAGTATTAACACAAAATCTAATACTAAAGATACAGCATATAGGTCTAGAAACACATCTAAAGAGAATTTTTGAGATGAAAAAAATGGACTGAAATGCAAACCCTACTGAAAAAAACAGCTTAAACCAGCCTAGGCTTAAACCTAGCCTAGCTGGTCCACCAGGCTGGTTTTAGAGGGGTTTTGGCCATTTCCAGGCTGGTTTCCAGCCATTTCCAGCCTAGTCTTAGCTGGTCAAGCTGGGAGATGACCAGCTAAAATCAGCTTGACCAGCCTAGCCAGGCTGGGAGCCCAGCCAAAACCAGCTATGTCCAGCTTAAACCAGGATGGTCAAGCTGGTTTTAGCTGGATTTAGCTGGTCATTTTCCAGCCTGACCAGTTAAGACCAGGCTGGAAATGGCTGGAAGCCAGCCTGGAAATGGCCAAAACCCCTCTAAAACCAGCCTGGTCGACCAGCTAAGCCTAGGCTGGTCTGAGCTTGATTTTTCAGCAGGGAAGAATTAAAATAATGAATTAAAGTTTTCAGATGACTTTTCATGTAACTAAACTCTTAGAAGTCTTTCAAATGCTTTGTGTGACTGTTTGTATTAAAAGGAATTAGAGTCTGTATTAAAGGGATAGTTCAACGGAGTCATAATTTACTCAGCCATTACTTGGTCCAAAGGTTTTCAATTTTTGGTGAGCTATCCCTTTAACTGCTGTGGATTGATCTTTAAATTAGACAGTTTTTAAAAACTGGATCAGCTTATTCACTAAAATAATCAACCCATCTACTCTGAATAGGCTGGCAGGGAAAAGCTAGAACGGACCTCAAGATTTCAGTAATATTTAAATAATAACATGCTGATTTTTCAGTGGGCGTTACCTTTAAAATTACACAAGTAGACTTTTTATACTTGTTACTTACTTGTGATTCAAATGTTCTGATGTGATTTGGAGCCTTGATATGGATGTTTTACACTCAGATGGAGATGATGATGGAGAAGGCAGGAAATCGACACCTGCTGACGGTCTTGACGTATCCTGATGCTGGTCATCTGATTGAACCTCCATACACACCTCACTTCAGAGCAACTAACTTCATCCTACAAGAAATGAAGGAGAAAAGTAAGCATGCATGATCAAGTACTTCTTTTCATATGCACATTTTAGTTGTGTTTCATTTAAACCTTAATTCAAAAGAACTGAAACAAGTCATTTTAAATATTAAGTTTACAAATGTTACATTTACAAAGTGTAGACTGAGTAAGAGGTACATTTGACTTGGTACTTTACTTTTTTTTTTTTTTCATGAAAATAACATTAAACTTAATTATTTTAATGTGACATAAGGACCAATGAGAATATATGTGGCCAAAGCTCTTTTGATTTCACCGTTTTGTTCCTCCAGATTATTTTATTTTTCAAATTATCATTTTTTACAGTAATGTTAAGAGGGGACATATTATGCAAAAATGATACGCATAAGCATTTGTAGCTCCGCCCTTTTTTAAAAAGAGGGCTGGAAGCACAACTTCATTTGAATTTGAAAAAGACAAAATGGCACAATTAGAATCAAAGCTTAAAAGGGGAAGTTTCAGAGTTGTAAAGTATTTGTGTGGTATTTTGAGCTGAAATGTCTCATACAGACTGTAGGTACATCATATTATTTATTTATTTTACATCTTGTAAAACTCGAAGACTCCAAGTCCGGGGCCATGGTGCTCCACCGGAAAAAGGTGGTTTGCAATCTAGAGGTTGGAGGACGGTCCTTACCCTAGGTGGAGGAGTTCAAGGATCTTGGGCTTTTGTTCACGAGTGAGGGAAGGATGGAACATGAGATTGACAGGCAGATTGGTGTAGCGGTCTATGTATCGGTCTGTTGTGGTAAAGAAGGAGCTAAGCCGTAAGGCAAAGCTCTCGATTTACCGGTAAATCTACGTTCCTCTGTCCTATGATCATGAGCTTTGGTTAATGAGCGAAAGGACAAGATCTCAGATACATGCGGTTGAAATGAGTTTCCTTCACCGAGTGGTAGGGCGCACCCTTATAGATAGTGTGAGGAGCTATGTCACCCGGGAGGAGCTCGGAGTAGAGACGCTGCTCCTCCACATCAAGATAAGTCAGCTGAGGTGGCTCAGGCATCTGTTTGGGATACCTTAAAAAACCTGGACGCCTACCTACAGTAGGGAGGTGTTCCAGGCACGTCCCACCGGGAGGAGGCCTCAGGGAAGACCCAGGACACGCTGGAGGGACAATGTCTCTTGGCTGGCCTAGGAAGGCCTCGGGATCCCTCCAAAAGTGCTGAAGGAAGTTTCTGGGGAGAGGGAAGTCAGGGGTTCTCTCCTAAGATTGCTGCCCCCACGACCTGGCCCCGGAAAAGCGGTTGAAAATAAATTAATAAATGAATCTTGTTAAAAGGGGCATAATAGATCTCCTTTAACATGTCCAAACTACTGTTGCAGAAAGTCTTTTTCAAAGTCGTTTGGGGTTATTCATTGTCTGTTGAAAGTCATGTTAATTTCAATAAGTAGCCGTTTGATATTCTTTCAATGAATTAATTACGTGGAGAATAGTGTCACCTAATTGTAGTTTTTTAATAAAACAATTACGGATTACTGTTTTTTAGTTTAAAGGGTTAGTTCACCCATAAATAAACATTTGTGATTTACTCGCACTCTGCTTGTTCCAAGTTTGCCCAGTTTTTTTCTTTTGTTGAACACAAAAGAAGATATTTTGAAGACTGAAAACTGGTAGACCTTTACTTCCAAATGATTTTTTTTTACTACTATGATATTAACTACCTACTTCTTACCAACATGTTTGGGTGAACTAACCCTCTATTGGACTTCCATATTTCATGCAAGGTATTGCAGGTGTATGAAAATGGTTATGGGATTAGTATATTTAAACTAATATTTCTGTAAAAAAAAAAATAAAATGAAAAAGTACCCATTTACTCTCTCTCAATTTGTTCCAGACCTTTTTTCCTACTATCTATGTCTAATGGTTCCAACATTCTTCAAAATGTGTTGTTTTATGTTCCACAGCAAAAAAAGAAACACAGATGGGTTTAATATGTAGAGGGAAAGTAAATTTTCTTTTATAGATAAACCATCTCCAAATCTTCTGAAATGTGCGTGTATATGTTTGAATGTACATCTGAAAGCATGTTGTTTTGTTGTTTCTACAGTTGTCATGCTGTGGGGTGGACAGACTAAACCACATGCATATGCTCAAGAGGACTCATGGGAGAAGATTTTAGCATTTTTCCATCAGCACCTATACAGTTCAAACATTAGGGCCAAACTGTAGTTCTTTCATTTGAAACTGATATAAAAGAGCAAGTTCATTTCAAATGCCTTTAATTGCAATGATTATGCAGCCAGCACTTGATGTTACATTTCACTTTGCTATCTGTATTGAATAAAAGAGGATCTTAAATATATTTTATATAATGCACTTATATTAGACATATCCCATTATGCAATAATTATAATATTTACATACTATAGAAAATGCATCATTACTAAATATTACCACTAAAGGGATTAGTATTGATATTAGCTGGGAAAGACACACACAAAATGTAACTGTGATGAACACTACATTTCCTTCACTTTGTACCCACAAACTATCTCTATAAGAATGCTTGGGGGGATGTTTTAGATTTCATTATCTAATTTATTTTTACTTGATTAACAAGAAATAATGTCTATTTCTAAAGTTTTTTTAAACCAATTACTGTATGTGTGCTAGCCAGAAGATGGTAAAATATTTGGGTGTATTTGCAATACCTGCAAAACAAAAAAAGTATGTTTTATTTGTTTTAGCAGCGAATATCTGAATAATTTGCATGTACATACAGAGATATTGCATAATGGTATTTTTTGGATGTAATTAACTCTTGTGTTGTTGCCATGTCTAATTTAATGTTTTACACAGATCAGTCATGAATATTAAACATTCTAAAAACAAAAAGCTACAGTTGTTTTTACTCTATTAAAAAAAAGTCACTATGTAACTATATATGTTTGGTCAAATAATAAAATGGCAATCACACTAAGACATGGGGCAATGTTAATTTACACAATTTATTTTTTATTTTTAAATGATGTAAAGATGTTTTATTTATTAATCATGTATGTATTAAGTAAATAAAGTCTATTACAGATTATTTAATTATAAGTGTTGTAATTATAAGTGTTGTTGTTAATAGCATAGTACATTGGTTTTAAAAAGTTTTGTAGTTAAAAGCTAACTACATTGCCAATCATAAGTCTGTTGGACAAAAGTTTCCCTCGATTATTTGCACAAGAAAACAAAATAAAGTTATCTTTTACAATATAAATGTATCTAAATCATTTTATGTTTTGCTTTGAAGCATGTTGTCAGTGTTTGTCAGTTTATCAATCCGTCAACCCTTTCATGTAGCTACCTCAGTCGTCTGAATGTAAGTTGAAGAAAAAACATGAAATACGCCAAATGGAGCGTTTAGCAAACAATAGCAAAATACTCTTTTCACAACATTCTTTCGTCCTCGTCTCTCGTAACAAAGTTTCAGTTTTAAACGCGTACTGTTGTCATTCGCAGAAAAGAGTTCGGTGTTGTTTTAACCACATATGATTACCGAATGACTTCGAGCTCGCACCCTGAAAAATCATATCTAAAATAAAGTTATGCCGCCCAGAACTGCGGTCTTGGCACACGGAGATGAGAGACATCGCCAGAAAGTTTGGCGTGGTGCAGGGTTTGTAGCGGCACTGCATGCGTAATTCACTGTTGTTTAATATCATGGGCGGGAGCTCTTCTCCCACGATCCACACACTCAGTTCTTCAGCTCTGGAAAACACTGCTGGAGAACAAGCAAAACGATGAGGCTTTTCCACACTACAGCTCTTGTCATATGTAAGTTTGTTTATCGTTATTATTATTCTATTCTCGTCTTGAGAATGGTCTCTCCCTGTGGTTTTCATTTCATAAAGATGTTTGACTTGGGAGTTTGACAACTTGTTATTGTTTTTCAGTGTTTTGGTTGCTTGGTTTTATATTGGCATGAGTACAGTTACTCTAGGATTTTTTTTAATTTTTTTTTGTGCTTTGAGTTACTAAACATTTTTAAAAACTTTATATTTTTACATTTTAAGAATAAAACTATGTCTTAGGGGGAAGTTTGTTAACATCAAAGCATTGTGAATTGTTATGCTGTCCAAAATTGGCGTTCAGTATAAATTTCAGTTTGGGGTTACATAGTGTCAGGTTTTGGTTTCCAGAAGTTGGTGTGGATCTCATCTAGTTTCCTGCATGCCACATTCAAATTTATCGGTTCAATAAGCGTTCACATGTGATATTCATTTAAATAATTAGAAACAGACTTGGCTCCTACCAGAAGCCAAAATCATTAACCATGAGAATATTTCACACAGATTCAGGGGTGTAATAGATTACACATTTAAAATTAAAATGTAAAGTGAACAGTCTTGGTTTTTGAAGGAAATCCTGGGCTGGTTGTCACAATGATTATAATACAGTATCTGTATATGCATCAAAATCCAAACACAGAAGCTTACTTTACTTAGCAGTGTTTTTTTTTTTTTTTTTGGCTAGTGTGTAATGTTGTCACAGGACTTGTTTTATTAATTATTCTCTCTCTCTCTCTCTCTCTCTCTCTCTCTCTCTCTCTCTCTCTCTCTCTCTCTCTCTTTCTCTCTCTCGCTCTCTCTCGCTCTGTTTCTTTCTATTCATCTACCGACCTATCCATCCATCTTTTCATACATATATATAAATTTTTTCAATTATTATGTTTATCCATCCATCCATTCACCTCTTCACCATCCCTATATTCATATACTTTTGCATCTATCCATCTATTTATGCATCCAACCACCAATTTCTCTATTGACTGCATTAATCTATCACATCCATAAATACGTCTTCATCCTTTCACCCATTTCTCTATCAACCCATCGTATGTATACTTATCTATTCATCCATTCCTACTACGTCCATCTACAAATTATGTTCCATCCACCAATCTCTATGTCCAACCATTCATCAATCTATGAAATCACCCATTCAATTTACTAGTCAATTCATCCATCCATCCATGAACTTTCTCTATTTTTAATCTACCTATCCACCCATCTATTTCCATAATTCATCCTATTCATTTCTCTTTTCATCCATCCATATATGCATCTTCCTGCCATCCATCCATCCATCTAATTATCTATTAAACTTCCTTGATCAAGTTTCATCGTGCAACCTTTCATTTAATTTGAAACACACTCTGATCAAATCAAATGCGTTTCCCACAGCTATTGCTCTGCACACTTTGGCACAACTGCCCGATCACAATGACATGTGTGCGGAGGGCAGCTGTTACCCTGCGACCGGTGATCTGCTGATAGGAAGAGCACATCGACTCACAGCCTCCTCCACCTGTGGACTGAATAGTCCAGAGGAATTCTGCATGGTCAACATATTAGAGGTAGGCCCAACGAAACAAGACAAACCTACTGTCATGGACTATAACAGCCAGACAAGCCCTCGTTTTTATTGTTCAATAAGTCATTTCACTCATCAGAATAAAGACATTGCAGCAGGGGTGCTTAACCTCGTTCCTGGAGATCTAACTTCCTGCAGAGTTCAGCTCCAACCCTGATCAAACACAACTAAACCAACTAAGAAGGGTCTGATGGAGCACTTGGTATTTAAAAGACAGGTGCTTTTGATCAAGGTTGCTACTAAACTATGCAGGAAGGCAGATCTCAGAAACAGGGTTGGGTACCTTTATAATACAGCATTTCATTATTAAATGTTACAATACGAACAATGATAAAAAAAGAAGAGTTTAATGTTAAATGTGACACTTTTGTAGTTAAAAACACCCTATAAATTTGCCATTAGTTCTGCATGACTTTAATTTAATATACTTTTTTTTTTTACAATAAATTTAAATTATTGCATCACTGTAACAAAGTAGTCACTAAGAACAGACTTGCAAATGCAGTTTAATAATCAAGGTCGTACAGGCAAAGGTCAGAAACAGGAGCAAAACATTACAAGGGAAATCCGAAAGAGGACATTATACAGGCGAGAGTTTAGACAAGGTGGCAATGAATCAAAACAATGAAGGCAAGGATCAATACATAGGAAAACAAACTAGGGGTCTGTTCTTCGTGCCTCGCTTAAATGATCTAAGATGATTTGGCAGATCCCGGATCTTTTAATCTTGATAACTGATCTCTGGCTTATTTGGCTCTTTAAACAAGTTCGTGAATCAGTTTAATATGTCTGAATGAACTGATCTGAGATCGCTGCGTGTGTTGTGAAGGACAGATCTATCGGTCCTCGAAATCATGATTGGTAATGCAACGATTGGCTGACGGCACAACAGCGTAATGACATCATCTGATCAATTATCCATGTGAGCAAAATTACATCAAATTCGCAGTAAACGGTTTGTTAAATATGATCCGCAATAACTTTACACTTTGTTGTGGGCTGTATGCTTCTCCCTTTCATGTGTCAAGAGCAATTTATTTAGTTTTACAGTTGGAGCGAATTTTCCAGTTTATAGTATTATAGTAGCCATTTTTTTATCAGTGAAAAGAATAACTGGATGTTTACAAAGCATTTTGATATCGGTAAAGGGGTCACACTTTACAATAAGGTTCATTAGTTAATGTTAATTAATGCATTTACTAACATGAACAAACTATGAACAACACATTTACTACAGTATTTGTTCATGTTAGTTATCAGTAGTTAATGAAAATACAGTTGTTCATGGTTAATTCATGTTAACTCACGGTGCATTATCTAATGTTAACAAGCATGGACTTGGATGTTAATAATGCATTTGTAAATGTTCAATTATGCTTAATAAACGCTGTACAAGTGTTGTTCATGATTAGTTCATGTTAGTGAATGCATTGACTAATGAACCTTATTGTAAAGTGTTACCGGTAAAGGCGTCTGCAACTTTTGTGAAGCATCAAATCATAATAACTGTCAAAACATGTTTATGACTGCATGAATGTATTATGTCTTTTTCAAAAAGTCACATATTGTGCATGTCTATTATCATACACAAATTGTACTAAAGCTATCTAAAAAGTTCATATCAATAACTTTTCTCTTTGCACCTTTGTGCTTTCATTATGGGGGTGCAGATTGCATAAGTTTTATTAATATATAAATGTTTTACTAATATATATATATATATATATATATATATATATATATATATATATATATATATATATATATATATATATATAGTTAAAAAATAGTTACTATTTTCCCAAGTGTAAATAACTACTAAAGTAAAAAATATCAGAATTCGGTATATACTTTCAGTATTTTCTTTGCTTGAACTGACCCGATCTAATCCTGTTTATATGAATTGAACCTGCTCCCGACCAGGTTTGAGCTAGCAGAACTGTTGATATGACAACAACTCTCGGATCAGTTTTGAAGATCGAAACGATCTTGGATAGTGTTAAAACGTCAATAACCAAATCCAGCTAATTGAGTAATCCACCTATACGAAGAACAGACCCCAGGAAACCGAATAAATTATTTGTTATATATAAATGCTTGCCTCTTATTAGAATCTGCCAAACCTCTTGAGCAATCTTGTTGTGCTTCAGCTGCTTTTAGCCTTACTTGGTTTCATGCTACAAAGATAATTTGTTTAGATTTAGCTCATCTATGAGCATGATTTTTGCAGGAGTCCCATAAAATGTAATGAACTCATGATTCTACTTTTGAGGCATCATCAAACTATACTTTTGGTTGTTGTGAATACGTGTCCTCTAGTGGTGAAAAAAATTACATACTGTGCTTTTAAAGGTAAAGAAGTATGAATATATGAAATATTTAACAATACACAAATTCTAAACATAGGTTTATGTCTTTATAATTATTATTATCTCTTATAAATGGTGAACACAACCTAAAAGCATCGCTATGATTTGATCGTAATCTTTCAATGTCATTGCGTGAGTAACACAGCATTCATCTTTTTTCTTCCCACACTTATATTCTGTCTGATGAACAATCAGATATCTGTGTGGAGAGTATGTAGTGGGAGGACGGAGGCCCCTGTCAGATGTTCCAGACCCCCTTAGGCCACTGTTTCAGCCTTTACGCTGTCTGTGTGGCCTACTACTATCTATTCTCAGTTGTATATTGTGAGTGATGAACTGAGCAATGGTGAAATGCCAGTGCATAACCCTGTGTTCAACCCTGTGTAGATTTGATACAGAAACCGGTCCAACACATCTACCACTCACAATTACGAAATACGATATTCTATCAAACCTTAAAATAATTGTTTA